CAAGACATTGCTTTAATAGGTCGGTAGTCAGTGGATCAAGCTCACAGGACTTTGATTGCGAGGTCATGATAATGTTGCGCAACACGTCCTGGGTTGTTGGTGAGAGTTTTGCCAATGGTTCCCCATCAAATGCAATGTCAGCAGTCATGACAGAGATGTCAATGTCAGCAGAAGTGTTCACTTTGGTAATATTTTTCCTGATTGAGCTGATTTTGTTCAGAAAGTAATCACTGAACTTGCTTGCTAAGTCTTTTTCAGAATTACGGCTTGGTAGGATAATTTCACCTTTCTGTCCCATTAGGTTTTTGGTGAGTCTAAAAAACTGTCTATTATCCTTGCCGCATTCTTTGATTCTTTCCGAATAATAGGCCTTCTTTGACTGAAAGAGTAGTGAACCAACTAGCCGACATTGCTCTCTATACATCTGTCATTTATAGGAATATCAATATAGCATATTACTTTTCAAGATGTGATTCAGTTTGCATAGGACTGGTTTCAGTATTCTAAATTTCGCGTATTTCACAAACATTCGTGCCAATAATCCAGCTTCCATACTCCAGGGGTTATACTCACTTTCGCCCTCTACACAGAGCTAAACATCCTCGACACTGAAAGGGTAACGCCCACTTTCGCTCTCTACACAGAGCGAAACATCATCGACACTGAAATGGTAACGCCCACTTCCGCTCTCTGCACCGTGAAATGGAATCATGTGTGAGGAACGTGGTTGGTTTCATTTCCCGTAATTAATGCAACAAAATCCGGGACCAATATCGGTGCTAATTGGTTCATTCTAAGTTGCAACATATCATACAACACCGGTACCAAATTTAGATTTTCGGCAGACAGGATAAATATGTGAAACATTTTCAAACAATGCAGTTTTTGCAAAATATTTGTGTTTGTGCGTGGAAATAATCATACCCGAACATTTAAAGGCTAAAGGTTGTGCACGCATGTTTGTAAATTCCATGCCATTCAGAACACTGAAACCAGTCCTACACCAACCGAATCTAGTCTCGGAACGGAGTATACTAAGTGTGATTATATAGAAGGAAGGGCTTTTCCAATTTATTTAAAAACTATCCCTCAAGTCGAAGAGTTGTTTTCCGAAATTTTCCCGTGAATTGAATCATTAAAAGTCACGTGCTTCCCCACATTGATATACATAGTGACAATACAGATTGCCCGGTAGCAGTCAAATTTCAAATTCTTTTATTGCATTGAGTTTCACAGCTCAACCATACAACATTCACTTACAAATATTACAAAACAATTACATGATGTGCGGGACACATAGTGCAGTGGAGAATGGACATCAGTACACTTTACATTGATGATTTCCTCAAATTGGTAGCATCGTATATATATTTGTTTAACATATTTAATTCTTAAGTATTTGTTGTACTTAAAAGCTGTACTAGTTTAAATAGTCCGAGACGTTGTACACACCGTGACCTAAGGATATGTTACAGCTATATTTGGACCTATTTGGACCCAAAATGCGGTGTTCAGAGTAAATTTACACGTGGTTTAGATCTACTACCCCTATATACATGTACCGTCGTAGAGGTGCATTTTTACCAAAACTTGACCTAAACCCCTACAATGTGTATCCCTTGCCCATAGATGTTTCTAAGCATTTTCTTTACTATCCCCTCCATTTTCCGAAATAGTCAAACAAAATGACGAAAACGTTTTATTTTTGAAGAAACAAAAACAACATTTTTTATTAATTTTAAATGTTAGGTCGTGTATTTCATCCATATATTATGTTTTTCGCACGTTGAAATACGACATGAATATTTGTTTACGTAAGTTTGATAACGTGCCGAACAACAAATCCGTCGCTCCAGCGACTGTCAGTGGCCCAATACCCATATCATGGAGCAGAATCTCTCTCCCTCTCTGTATGTCAGTGGCCTAATACCCATATCCTGGAGCAGGATCTCTCACCCTCTCTGTATGTCAGTGGCCTAATACCCATATCCAGGAGCAGGATCTCTCTCCCTCTCTATATGTCAGTGGCCTAATACCCATACCATGGAGCAGGATCTCTCTCCCTCTCTGTATGTCAGTGGCCTATTACCCATATCATGGAGCAGGATCTCTCTCCCTCTCTGTATGTCAGTGGCCTAATACCCATACCATGGAGCAGGATCTCTCTCCCTCTCTGTAAGATTTAGTCAATGTCTTTTATAACATACTTTTGGAAGACAAAAGCATATATCCCAGTAAACAGATTAATAAATATCGAGTTACAACACGAAAGGCATTGTTCTGACGCATGCGCACCAAGTGCTCTACGCGGGCCTTCCCAGGAAACTCCGGCCGACATCTTGCCTAACCCCTTCTCAGAGCTCACACTCCCGTAATTAAAAAAAAACCATATGAAGTGTGGTACGTGCAGCGATTAACAATAACGTTGGCCAATCACAACTAACAACTGGTGTTTTCGGTTTTACCCGTCATTTTTCCATAATATCTCACAGTTTTACGCTGTAACTGATCACCTATCTGTCACGTGATGTGCCTGTATGCACTATATCGACCCCTGCAACAATCAAGGCATGGCTTTAACCAGATTTTGACCTCATTTGAACTTTGGATCAAAGTTCTGCTGTCTATTGATACCTAATAAACTTCATGATACATGTTTCTGTACTTTTTCATTAATTTCTTTATTATCAGCCATTTTGTTGCATATTTCTTAATACAAATATATCTGTAGTGCTATTCGAAACCGACTCATCCTCGGTACTCCGAGGGTGGCGTTCACTATTGTTCTCTGCAGAGCGAAAGTGAACACAGATAGCGAAAGGGAGCGAAAGTGTACGTAACGTAACCCCTGGAGTAAATACATGTACAATACTATAATGTAATGATAGCCCGACCAATGTGTTAAGTGGTTCGTTCTCTGCGAAAGTGAGCGTAACCCCTGATTATCGAGGATGGAGATAACAACAAATGCCACGACTGCATTCGTTCTAACTCGATAACTTGCCAACTCGATAACTTGCTAACTCGATAACTTGCTACGCTTGATTTAATCATCTATTGGCACTAATGTTATAAACTTATATTTAATATATAATATATAACTAATTTGCTGCGTTGTTGTGTACAATATCAATGTGACACGTACGACAGGGGAAAAAACAACTTGACCAAGCTACGAAGGCTGTAGTATTATGTAATTGCATTAACACACCCATAGGGAAAGTAGATCTAATCGACTTTTAAAGTGTTTCTGTGTATATTGTGATGGAGTAATACATGCTCAAGCACATGTTTGCAGTTTATGCAAAACAGGTAAGCTGTTTAGCATATTTCGTAGAATGTATTTAGGGCTAGGCTGTGGTAGTGACACCAGCCGTGCGTGATCACGATAACACAAGCTGCAATGTACATTTAGCTGTTTATTGATAGCTCATCTGTTGTATCTATAAGCGTGACGTCGTTATCACTGCTGTTTAAGTTTATAAGAAGTGTTTATAAGCGAGACGTTATCTCACCAGTTGTAATTAAGAAAAATGACGTCAAAATGATGAATTCAACACGTGGTCCGTGACATTTATAGCTAATATGAAACTCATCGTAGCTGGAACTCGTTAGATCTATCGGTACCATCGTTGCCTTCAAATATTTATTTTAAAACTTTGCTTTAAATTTACAACCATCCCCTCCTATCTACTTAGGTTTGGAGAACGAAGTTGAATATTTATACATACTTAACTCAGACACAAGTGTAGTTCCCTTAAATATGACCTTTATGCAGACCTGTAATTCTGCTTTGTAGGTCTATAGAATATTAATAGTGTTACTTTTTCATCAAACTGTATATATATATCTTTTCTTTTTCAAATTGAAATAATTCCGCTGCATGGTACTTTGATATGTTACATGGAAACGAGCAGCTGATGCGAAAAGAATGATTAGATTGCTATCTAAGTCCTTGGTGCCATGCAGTAGTTTAAGTTTAAGTAGTTTAAAAATATTCATACTTTGAATGAACATTTTGTATCATTCGAAATAAACTCGATTCATCTTTATGATCTCTTCTGTCTTTCAAAACTATCTTTTTATTTTTTTTATGTTTTTCTTCTATGTTCCTTGTTTTCATACAATTAATTTGATTGGCATATGTCGCTATCACTAGCATTGTAATATTATAGTTGAGGAGAGGGCTTCTATAAGTTGTTATAACTAGTGCCCAATTCATTCGATATATCAATAAAATATGTTTAAATAAAAACAAAACGTCTGTCTCAGTACTAAGATGACGCCCCATTTATATCTGCATATTTTGAACCCTGTACGAGGTCACATGATCTGTGACGTCACAGTAGCACGACTTATACGATGTCAAGTCCATTAGGTGTACCAATTCTGACACGCCCACTTTACATATATATTATCTGCAAAACGGTGTAAGGAATGACAGGTATGGGTAAATCATCAATCGACAAATAAAAACATCAATTCTCCGAAAGAAAATTCAAGCCTGAATCACGGAATTCTAATTCCGTTTCTGCATCAACAACGTTTAATGTTCAATGTAACTTTTAGCTGAGAGATAGTAATACACAGTTAGACACCTTAATATCTTACCTGTGAATTAAAAGGTATTTAATTACCTGTAGTTCTTACCACATAATACTATATATAGTTTTGTTGATGAACACTCCTTATCCATTACATTCCAATCGAAGGGATAGCACGGCCATAAACATTTTCTTCAGCAGACTAGCTCTACCCCTTTTCAGCATATACGTGCTATTAATGACCTCTCTTCCAATACTTCAGATCATTACCCTGTTATCTTAACGATGAAGGGAACCATTCCTTGTCACACCAAATCATCAGTTACCTTAAGGAACAGGAAAACGCCATGGAAAAAGATTGATACGGACTACTACAAAGCACTAGTTTCAGAAGAGACACTAAAGGTACAAACCGACTCTGGAAGCAAATTCTCCATTTAAAAAACGGTACAGGATATGAGTGAGATCCTAAGCAAAGCTGCCAAAACCTCCACTATTGGTGCTCCAAGTCATAGACATAAGGCAAATGGTCTCACAGTGTGGAATGAGAACATTGCATCCTCTATACGAAACTCACGTAGATGCCACTGGGAATGGAAACTCAACGGTCGGCCAAGTGATCCAGCCAAACCCTTGCTTATAGCCAGGAAGTTTGCGAAGCATGAGCTGAAGAAACATATTAGGATCGCGTCTGCCCAGAAACTCATGCATGACCGAGATGAGATCATGGAAGCTAGATTAAATGATTCAGGGCGTTTGTACAAGCTTATAGACAAGCATCGAGGGAAACTGAGAGGGTGCATATCTGAGCTTAAGGTGGGTGAACATACTTACAACGGGCAGGAAGTACTATTAGGTTTGAATCAACATTTTGGCTCGCTAGGACGACCTACCGACATTCCTCTCTTTGATGAAAAATATGCAGAGCTAGTCGAAACAGATGTGGATACCATCTCCGATATCTGTCGTAGTAATACAGCAGACGTTACATTTTCCAGAGAGGCAGTTGCAAAGGCCATTCTTTCCCTAAATAAGAACAAGACAGAATATATTTATGATTTGGCAACAGAGCACCTACAATACGCTGGTAAACGGGTACTGAATGTAGTGACTTGGATCGTCAACTCCATCATGAAGGCTGGATTCGTCCCTCCTGCGATGAAGAAAGGTACTATAGTTCCCGTTTTCAAGAACAAGGGGAGTAAATTTGAGGCGAAAAACTACCGTGGGATCACTGTGACGCCAGTGGTAACCAAAGTCCCTGAGGCCTTATTACTGCCCTCCATAAGACCGCTCGTAGCAGAGATCCAAAATCATCTCCAGAGAGGCTTCACAAATTAAAGCAAGCATCGCCTCTAATGGCTGCCACTATACTAGAAGAAGTGCTAGGAGACGCCAGAGACTGTAAGAAAGACGTCTTTGCCATTTATCTAGATGCCAAATCAGCCTTCGATGTGGTTAACCATAACAGTCTCCTCAGGAAGCTATTTCTAGCTGGAGTCGACGGCAAATCATGGAAGGTAATACAGGATCTCCACTTTAGGACGACTAGCTGTGTAAAATGGGATGGCCAGTTATCTGACAGCTTCCAGATATTGCAAGGAGTAAGGCAGGGAGGACTGCTCAGTACTGAGCTCTACAAAGTTTATGTGAACGACCTCCTCAACTGTATACAGAGCACAGGACTAGGCATCAAGATTGGTACCAACGACTGCAGTGCACCGACCTGTGCTGACGATGTTACCATACTTGCTCACGAACTAAGCTCCTTACAGACTCTACTGGATGTTGCGGTCGATTACAGTTCTATGGAGAGATATATACTTCAACCAGAAAAGAGCACTGTCCTGATGGTTCCATCATCCAGTCGTTTGCGTAGTCAGATACGTAACACAATATTCAGAATCGGCCCAGATCCCGTCAATATCCGGACCAGGACTACACATCTGCGGATCCAGCAGGATGTTAAATCTACCGCTGCTGCCACTGTCGAAACCATATACAAAAAGAAGCCATGCGTAGGATATAGTCTGATGAGGTCAGGACTACATGGTGGGAATGGATTAGACCCGATTACAGCAATAACTGGTTATTGTGTATGTGCTCCCCAATCTCCTCTATGGGCTGGAAATCTGTCTCCCAAAAGGACAACAATTGAAGAGACTTGAAATCTTCCTGAAGAAGATCCTTAAGGTAATAGGATTGTGTCGCCATTTCTCAGTAGAATTTATTCAAATTTTGTAGATATATTGCTTTAAAGTAAAGAAAAATTTCTGCCGCAAAAAAAATATAGGTTGTCAGAATTTTAAGGATTTTAAAAGGAAATTTATGTAAAAAGGAGTGAATTTTGAAAATAAATTGAAACACACAATTTTTGGCAAAATAATTTCAATAAAAATGATACTAACATAGATTAGTATTGCATTAATGTATATCAATTTCATAAATGCTGAAATTGTGTACAATTAATTATCTATAAACGATTAAAAATTGTCATTTTATAATAAAAGCATATACACATAGTAATTGCATGCAAGAGTTATCGTTCTTGAAAAACTTCACAGTAGTGAAATAGGTAGCCGGTTTCTGAAGTACAGAAAAATGGACACATGTGACTCATTGATTAAAAAACAACTGAATTAATGCCTGGATTGCTTTGCAATACTTCAATATTGAAAGAACACACTGTTATGTCAATAATAAGCATACAATATTCATCACTTTAATATTAAACATTAGATTATGCGGAAATTGTGATACTGTCTCCCTACATTGGATTTTCAACTAGGGATGTACTTCCTATTTCCGTTTAGCAATACACTCCTATGACCTTAAGCAGATCCTGTCTCTTCCGGTAACTACGGCGCATTCGGCAGTATTCACTCTTGCTTCTTCTGTCCAGGACACAGACTTAGTAGTACTAAACGTATTACTGAAGTCACAACAATTACAAATATGAGTGTCTGCTTTTAAGGTGAAAAACAATGGCGCGTGGTCAGAATATTCATTAAAATCCCCAACATTACAATTTTGAACCTGGTCCAAATAAGTACATAATCAATTGTACTTGTACCTAAGGCGTTATAAAACGTAAATTTACCTTCGATATCACCAGTCGTCCGACCATTTAATATTCGAAAACCAGTAGTCTTACACATTTGCAAAAGACGACGCCCAAATTGGTTAACAAAAACATCTTCAGAATTACGAACACTTTCATCAACTTCATCTTCATAGGGTATCACATTATCTATAACCTGATGTAAACTATCATGTAGAACATCAAATGGAATAAAGTCAGGCTCTCTACCAGTTCTACTGTTGAGATCACCCGTGATAAATACATGACCCATACAGCTGAATTTGGCAATTCCAATTTCCAATACATCAAACATATTGACATCATAACTGTCATAGAATGTTGCCCTTTCTGCTGGAAGATATACAAAACAGAGATATGTATCGATATTGTCAAAAAAGAGCTTACCATCTAGCTTTATCCACAAAATACTATCAGATACTACCTCTTTCAGCGTTATATCCTCTGTCAGCCATGATTTAAATAAACATATCATGGCACCCCCTTTACATTTACTTCTCTTGAAAGGTGGAAAAAAATCGAAACCTTTAACATTGACATTATCTAAATTATTTAACCAACATTCACTTAGAAAAACAATATCTGAATCTTGAAAAATATTAAGAAAATTATCATCTATAATTTTATTTTCTATGCCTCTATGAACGTTCCAAGAGCATATATTAATTTGGGATATGTTCTCCTGTGAGCCCTATGCGGAAACAGCTTTGGCGTAGGTCTGTTCCTCATCACAACCCGCATGAGAACCTTGCCTATCCTGGCCAACAGCGTATCTAGCCCGACGTGACGGTGGACAACCGGAAGTTGATGATCCTGTTCCGTTGGGAGTTGACGGCTGGCGCGATCTCTTCGACCTGCTTTCCTCTACATTCATGGGTGCAGCAGCTGAACACGTGATTCCATCCTTTGAGAACTCGTCTCGCCCGTGTACAACACACCATCGACGAACATCTTATCACGTACAAGTCTTACTTCGTGCCCATTCCTTCGCTTTGCCTTAGCCACTGGATAAAGCTTCCTCCTTGCCTCCTCAATGATTAATGAAGATGTTGTTAAAAACTTATTTAAATTGTTGTGGAACGTAGAAGGTAAATAATGCCTCAGAACGGTACACTTTTTCATATATTTCAATACACATTAGAGATAAAAATATTTCTAATTCCACACAAATAGATTTGCATGTTATTTATTTTAAGTGAAATGGAGAGAAAAAAGTGGGGAAGTGGGGAAGGGCCATTTCTTTTTTCGCATCCCGATTTCAGCCGACATCTAGGGCAATATTTCAACGAAACAAATATTTTAAACTATCATATTTAATCGTGACAGTCTGATTGACACTTGACATCAATTGGTTGTTCACGTATACACGTATATAATTAAACTATACTGCCCGGTGTTTTTACTTATCAAGTAGTTTACGTTCGCGATTATGAGAAAACCAAATTGAAAGTTTATGCGTTCCATGTCTGCGTGGTCTAATACTACACCAAACTCAGAGGCAAAAGACACTTGGTGAAACTTTCACTTTTAGGCGTTGATATGTGGATATACATGTATATACATATAGGAGGAATACATGCGATATGTCAGCAGATTTCAGAACACTATAGTCGATTATATTGCAAATATATGACTCTCAAAAGTCACACAATTAAACTGGCTCCTACGTCATCTTCTTTTGTTTTAAATCAAGTAATATATGGAGTTTTCAGTCTGTGTAGCCGCTGTGCTATATGCGTTTAACTTTTTGATACAGCACGAATTACGCTATTTCAAAACATAAACTCGTTGCATATATTAGGTTTAGGTTTATTTTTATTTGGGAATGAAAATCTGTTCGTAGATACCAATACAGAAGTATTCAGACACGTGCAACTTTTCATCAAATCCAGCAGCAGGTTTTAAGTAAAATATAATAATTGTATAATATAGTTTGTATGATATCAATATGTACTGTATTAGAGGAAAAGGCGTTGATAAGTTGATATAACTTGTGCCTAGTCCTCTGCGCCATTTTGGGGCAATGAATGTTTTTAAATAAAAGAATGCAATATGCGTATCTTATATACGTTCCTGTCGTATTAGAATCGTCCTCCGATGTATTTTTTTACGTAAATAGTGACTTGTTTTCTTCCTGTCTTCTTCTTCAATTAAATTGGTAGAGAATTGTATTTAGTATGTAGGTTCATGCCAAGAATCACACTGTCAGAGGTGTTCGGTGAAACAAATCAGAATTATATAGGCTGATCCCTACATCTACCTATCATATATGGGCCAGTGACTCAAACGTGCCACTCTGACGTCACAAGTACCACGTGACCTATTAGCTCATTAAAATTCTCGCCAGTAAGGAGCGGTCACCCTTGATTGCCTATATCTAGGTAACAGGACACTTCTGACCGCGCGGTGATGGATGATTCTGTATTTATTTAAGTATATTACAGGTTTCGCTTATTTTTACAAAATGTAAAAAAAATCGTGGCCAAAATCCTTTAAATCTTACGTGTTTAGACATGTGCATCACTTCAATAAATCCAACAATAGATTTTGAACGATGTTTTTTTATGTTGTGTCACGGAATTAGATTATCTAAGTCCGCGGTTGTGTATATCTACTAAATGATTATGCCTATTATCATTGTTGTCATGTTATTGTAAATGTATGACGGGAGAAGGCTGTTATAAGTTGTAATAACTTGTGCCCAATCCTTTCTTCAAATTAATTGGCAATCAAATATGTTTCAAGTAAAAAACAAAAACATCTTTATTTGACAGGGTTATTTAAGGCGAGGAATGCTACTCGTAGGTAAACCGCTGACACTTAAAATTATGAGTCAGAACAGCTAAAACGATATCAAATTACCTAATATAATTTGTATGCTCTTCATTTTAGATCATTTTTTTTTTTTTTTTTTTTAAATAAGCAAGTGCCGATTACTGGACGATATACTTAGCAAGTACACGATACCTCACTGTCAATTTTAGACTGGACCCGTCTCTAGAATATTTATAGATATTAAATCATTTAGAGAAACAAATAACTCTAAAAAGTTTGATCACTGGATGTCTGATGCTAAGTTCTAAACTTGGGGGAGATAAGCTAGTAATAAAATCTTAGGGGACGGTAGCCAGTCTAGGTACATTTTTATTTCTCGTAATTATGTTTAAAAATGGCACGAGAATAACAAAATAACTGTCCAATGATTTCACGATTTTCTGCAAAAGAAATAAATGTTATCTTCAAATTGGAGGAAATAAAGAGAATAATAGGATGTCACAAACCCTGATCATGACCGTCTCACTCACGTGGACGCCCCTGGCGCGGTAAGTGATAAACATGTTGTTTACACCTATAGTTGAGTGGAGATCCGGGATGTCTTGTCTATCCTACCTAGGGTTTTTCGTGTATAACTAGCTGATATGAGAGGTGTATTTCTGATGGCGTGTCGTTATGTATTACCACGGACTTAGATAATCTAATTATGTGGTTTTACTATAACGCTATTTTTTTTCACACTATCAAAGAAGTTCAGAACTTTCCATAAAAACCAGCAACGCATGAAAAAAATACTGAAGGGTTTCCGTACCACTACCAAAAACTGTTACTATTTATTTTTTATTTTTTAAAGTACATATTATTGTTCCTATAACAGCAAAAGACTTGCACAGGTTCTTTACAATATAAATAATTGCGACGGTGTCAAACCGGTAATCGAGCCCTGGACCTTCGATCTCAATTGGGTCGCCTAACCATCCAAGCTACTAAAACGAAATAAAGGGAGGTTTGTATAAAATATGTAGACATTTTTTTGTTTTTACATAATATACAAAAAACGGTAAGAGTTTTGATGTATGTAGTTAGAAGTCTTAAAAGCTATGGCTTAAAACCATGTCGATCGGTCAACGGGAGATAACTCGCGAATGTGAGTATTACAATTTTCTATAGCTTGAGCGGAATGTCGTATAAATATGTTACTTCGGTGTTATTCTTGTGTCACCTAGAGATCATGTAATCGTTTTAAAAGGTGGAAAGCAGATGATATCGAGGTATCTGATAATCAAATTACAC